GAGCTTTCTCGTCTTCCTGCATTTAATTCCTCAGATTGCACGAAGTCATACGTCGAAAAAAGAAAATTCACTTGCCCTGTGTGCAGTCTCTGCTGAATTGACCAAGAAGAGGTACAGAAAGAGAAAGAACAAGACCCCGATTTACCTCGGGTGATAGTGTGTCAACATGGGTTGGGGTCTCAAATACCTATGGGAATCAGCACTGTCTCCCACTACAAGATACGAAAAGAACTTTCCTCTGTATATGGCTTACTGCTATACGCAAAACTGCTGGTTCCTTCTGCTTCACTCAGACGAATGGTGTGAACCAAAATACAACTATGTGAATGCTTCTGTGGTGGCCCAGAATGGATAGCGAAGCCAATACTTGTCCAAATACTGTCACGCATGTCAGACAACCGACAAGTAAGCAGCGAAAGAAGGATCACCTCTACAACCAGTGCTTTTTCCAATAAGCGCATGGAAACAGCTTGGAACAGACACTGTGGAACTATTCTACAAACTTCTCTCACCATTACCGTTTTGCAACAAACTAGTTCAGTAAGTAGCCTGGGGTTGCTTTCTGTAGTCAAGTGACAGCAGAGATTGTCTGCGACTTCCTAATAACAACATTGAGGTGAGAGGGACATCCAAACATTACTGCCTTGGACCATGGCTTACAGGTCAGGTCCCGCACAACCTGAGAGTTCCTCAGGTCGAGGGACTTCTCATCATCAGTCTGCAATTTGCAGTCCACAGGCGAATAAACGAGTTAAAAGATTTAATTGAATTTTAAAATTGTCTGTCCAGTCAATCACTCAAGAACGAGGAAACACCCATACAGGCAGTAGTGAATTTCTTCTCTATAAAAGCACACCAGAAGGAGCGGCAAAGGTTTTCACGCATGAAATTTCTAGAAATGTCTAGATATCATGGGCTTTCCAGGTTTCGAAAAGCCTTTTCCTATAGAGATGCGGCAAAAGGGTCCCCAAGTTCACAGTAAAAGTGTAGCAGATGAAGTCTTTCTAAGACTCTTACCAATTCTTCTGTTACTTTCTCAGACGGTACAGGTACACGGCATACAGCCAGTTCGTCTGGTGGATTTGGGGACGACTGGGCAGGTTTCGCCGCGTCAGGCTCCCGTGCTGTGTGGTGGCCAGGATAAGAAAAGAATTCCCATCGACCACATACACGGGCTTCCACTATGCTTGATCGAACCGGGTCCTGTGGGCCAACACCGCTGCTTCCTTGTCTGGCCTTTGTGCAACGCTGCACAGAGGTGGTCGACGAGGACGCGGCCCGTTCGCAGCCACAGCCAGCTGGTAGGTCCGGGAAGCCTTGGCCAACTCCAGGCAGGAATTGAGGAGCCTCTGGACGTAGTCTGAGTAAGAAAGTGTGATAGTCAAGCTGCAGCCAATGTCTGAATAAAAGTGTCTGTATTTACCGTACGACGCAGTCTCCATGATGGGGCTGAGGACCCATTCGCCTTTCCGTGACTTGGGAAACTTCAGACAACTTCGCTTTTTGTCGTCCTTCGTTGTGGCCTGCGCACGGTTGCTGTTCTCATTGTAGTGGAGCACCGCGACGGCAGTCCTGTGAGGGCCGCATATAAGGGGAGGAAAGACTGTAAACATGCCCCAAGCATATTTCATATTAGAACTTTTCAGAAATTTTCATACTGCACAACACATGCTAGTAACCGTATCCACACTGGCAGGCAACCTGTCGTATGCTAGCAGACCATCCTCGGGAACATGGCCCTGCATCGTTTCACACACTAGCAACCCATCCTATTCTCATTGATTGACTCACTATTATTGTGATCAAAATTAAGTCGACACTTCTCATTTACTGTAAACGACTTATTTTTCGCGGTCTCAATATTTCTTGATTTTGGTCGAAGCTCAAGCTTTGTAATAATTCGCAGGTTCTAAGTTTTGCGACACAATGGGATCTCAATGTAGATTCTTATGTGCTTACATTCTACCAAAATTGTTTGCGGGACATATTTTTCGCAAATTGTAGGCGATTCACAAAAATTAGGCCTTCGCGAAAATTAAGTCGTTTACAGTTCAAGATGCGCTGCAATTTGCCACCATTGTGCGGACACAAGTATGTGTGAAAAATGGCTTCCCTTCGACTTACGGTAACAATGAGAAGCTCGTTAAAGACGAGGGAGATAAAGATTGTACAAATTGACGTAGGGCCTCGCTCCTAAAAACAGTATGTGCACTCGCTCATCTGCTAGTGTACATAAGTGCATCCCCAGAATTTTCTGCGTGAGTGGTGCACAGTAGAAATTTCAGAAAAGGCTCATAAATAAACAAATATCACTAGCATATATCAGGATGCCTGCTTACCGTGCCACCATGCCCTCAAAACTGAAATGACTGGATTTCGGAGTAAACCGGAGCAGCATGCTGTGGAACGACTCTAGGCGATAGGTCTGACCGTCTCCAGACACCCTTGGTATGTCCTTGAGTAGTTGCTTGGACATGACGATCTTTTCGAGAGCCACGTATGGCTCGGTCCCTGCGATAAGAGAAAGTATCGAAATAACCCTTAGGGTGTCTAGCAAGTTATTACAACTCTACAACGGTCCCTGACCATTGTAGAGGTGGTTAAATATATCAGATCATTACAACACAAGGCATTGAGCATTCAGAACTGTAACAGTACTTTCGCACGGGCTGAACCCAACTTGCATATTCCGAAATATTTGGGTTCGTCCTGTCCGGATTAAATGAGCACTTTCTTGCCCCCTGACATAGTCAGTGAAGAAGCCACTTCCAGAAACACAATAAAAACATGACGCTGAACCAGACATGTTAATAATTACGAATGGCAGCATGGCATAGCCGCCAGATGCACACTTTCGTATACTTTTGGCTTGGATTGTATTGGGGTCTGCAGCTTTCCCATTTGTTAATAATAATAAATCTAGTAGCTCTAACTGGATCTAGTCTAGTGTCGCGCCCTCAATCCAATCCAAGGCTTTTACTGGATTTGTCGGCGGTTCCCTTTGCATCGGGTATTACACTCTACATCAATTGAGCAGGGCCCGCGGGCTCCGCTCCAAGCAGAATTTATTACCTATTTTTCTGCCCACAGGTTTTCAAGTCTTTGCTCAGGGCACTCGATAGCGTTTCCGGCACATTTTCCCTGACTCGGCTCGCTCTTTGGCAATATCCCTGACAGTCCCCCGATTTTTCCTGGTAATTAAATTTCCCCTGACAATTCCCGGTTTTGCCGGTCTCTAGACACCCTGACCCTTGTAAGTGCTGAGTTTATATCGATAATGACTGAGCAGGTAAGCCAGAGCGCAGCCGAGTATACTCCTGGTGGCACCCAAAAGGTTAAACAGCAAAGCCAGTGCCCATTGCAGCCTGTCCACAAATCACTTTTTTGTGTTGTATACGTGATGCAACTGCCATTTTATTTTTTATCCATCTCTGCAGAAGCTAGATCTCTGCTCAGTAATTCTGCATAAATAATTTTCATATAATCTGCAATTTCCCTTTTTATGCGTCTTTTGCATGTTACAAGTCGGTCTTCACTTCCTCATTCTGTGTCTTTTCATGACCTCAAAAGTGGAGTGTTTTTCTTGAAATATAAGGCTAGAAACATGCAGTTTACGCCTCTTGATGTAATTGAAATGTCCGCTCAGTACTATGAGCTGGATATGAGATGGAGTCCTCCCATCGGCAGGTCTAGAAGGGGGGGGGGGGGGGGGGGGGTTGGGATATCCTGACCCTCCTTTTGAATTCCGCAGGTGTGAAATGCAGAGCGGAAAAGGGGGGGGGAGCATACGAGTTATCCGAAACACAATCTGGTATGCTGATCTTCCATCTGGAAACACTTGCATTCATCTCCAATTCCTCCTTGTGCTATTTGATTGTAGACTGGCCAGAGCAGCCAAAGGAAGTCTGTCCTTGTTATGAAAGCTTCGCCGACAACTGGAGTGAAAAGAATGTTATGAATGTTTAAAGAATGAATCTTTTTTACCTTCCTGAAGCCACCAGCGCTCTTCGATTGGGCCATGGGTGCACGCAGGGTACAGGGGGCTGGGGTGCTGATGGACGTTGCTCACGTGTCGCATTACGGACACCCATTTTGCGAGCACCAGCGCGCCATTGTCACTGCTGGTCTGTGCACACCAGTAGACGTGTCCACGTACAGTCTTCACCCATGCATTCAAGATGCTGTTCTTCTTTGTCTTGCCTGCAGAGGCCATCTTGCTCCCAATGCCTATAAATTAGAAAGCCTCCATGATTATTAGCTCAGCACCAGTCTAGTTTGGAAAACAAGTTTTGATATTAGATACACTAAATATATGAAGCTATAGTAAAATTGCATCTAGATACTGGTGCAGCATGGACAACATCGTCAACTTTAGTATACCATATGACGTTTGAATAATGCCACGTGTATCTTGACAACAAAGCATGTTGCACTATAGTTCATTGCGCCAGCAATCATTAACTCAATCGTGATCGGGCGGTGTTACACAGCAGTGCCATCTACCATCAAGCCGCTAACGATCATTGAATTCAACTGAGCTCGCCTACCTCAGTTAACTGATGGGGGTTCACCCCAACAGAGCTAAAGATGGCAGCATTCACCACTGATAGCCAGTGCTAGCGAAGCATTTACTATTGCAGAAGAAGGTATCTAAAAATTATCATAGCAGCAAATATTATCAGAAGAGGTATGATACGAAGTCAGAGCTACCACTAAAACTATTGCGAAACGTCGAGGAAGTGCGGCCATTGTGATGTCGGTGGCAGTAAGACTTTCGTTGTCACTCTTGCTTTAAATTTCTGTGAAATATTCCAATTTTCGTTTTCTTTGTTCTCAAAATAAACTAAAATCTATCACTCTGAACGACTTATTTTTTACAGGCTCAATATTTTACGATTTAGGTCAAAGCTGAATTTTTTGAATAATTTGTGGGTTTTCATTTTTGCGACATGGTGGGATCTCAATATGGGCGATTCGTGAAATTTAAAGGGCAACTCCGCTTCATTTTTGATATTGAGAAAACTATGTAGCCCTCTTCAGCATCATATAGGAAGACCACATGCCAAGTTTCGCGATGTAATTCCGTCTAAATATTTATTAATCTGGCCAGCAAACTTTCAAACGAGCCAAGTCGCCGAAATCTGCTAACTCTAGCGCGCGACGTGAAGAGCAATCAACAGCGCTGTCAATACCACGGATCTGGCGCAGCCAACAGTGAGCACCTACGTCAGAGGCATGCGTATGTCAGTTCTATGTTTTGGTTGTTTTTACTTCTCCGGGCGAAATTGAACGAAGACGTCGTGAGTGGAAGTGGCTCCTCCCGGCGTTGCGTGTTGGCTCTGTCCACATGATCACCGTAAAACGCATGCGCCAAGTTGGGAGCAGACGCACTCGTTTCCTCGTTTCGCCTCTGCTGCAGTAGGAGCAGTAGGAGGACGGCGTTTTGTGGTTTTGTTACGGTTCGAGCGCGGGCAGCATCCCCGAAGCCTAGCTGCGATGCCTCGCAGAAGGGCCATAGGCTCACGATGTTGTGTTGCTGCCTGCTTGAACTATCAGTCGACCAGCCCGGGAGTTGTTTTTCACAAGTTCCCTCGCGACAGTGCGCGTCTCATTGTTTGGACAGACATCGTGCGCCGTTGGAACTCCGAGAAGCCGTGGTCGCCAAATAGCAGGACATTGATCTGTTCTGACCACTTTTTGCCCGAATGCTACCAGCGAGATCTGCGCTTGTTCTGCGACGCTGGGTTTTCAACCAAGTACGCGCGTCTGGATCAAAACGCCGTGCCGTCGATCCTCGATCCTGGATCCTCGCCTTCCGTAACAGCCGACGGACTGACGCCGGACGCCGTGTCGTCGTACCTCGTTCCTCGATCCTCGCCTCCCCAAACAGCAGACGAATCATGCGTGAAGCGTCGTCGGACCGGGGTACGTATATTCCTCGCTCACGTCGCGCTGGCCGATGCTTTTGTCTCTGTTCGTGCGGGCGAGCACGTGCGATTGCAAGCCTGTTGAGGCGACATTCACGAGCACGTCGCACGTGAACGCACGCTAACGTTTTGTGCTATATATCAGTAGAAGTGAGTGCGCGTGTCCGCGCGCGGGCTGGCGTGCTCTTGCAAACGCTCAAACGGCTGTACGAACTTTACCCAGGACTGAACCGAACCTGAAATTGGGAACCGTAACTCTGAACACCGCCGTTATGTACTATAATATTAATATATTTCAATTATCTATGCTGTTATCAGTAGAAAGTACATGAGCAAACAAGTTGTTTTCAAAACCAGTAATCTGAACAATATATCCGATCATTATTGCAAGTTAGACTAGAAAACTGTTCGTTTGTTTGGCGACCAAGATATTCTAATATAGGCATCCAATTGGTATTTATGTTGACACTTGTTGCACATCGTCATTTTAGCACAGGGCAATTCTTCCTCCCCACTAACATTCTGGCTGACTCCCAGACGGCCTGCCGGCACTTCCTTCTCACCACCTTGCATCTATCCACTGTGTCCCTACTCGACTCCTTCCTATACTCCACCTCCCACACTTTCCCGTTAGTCTGGGTGCGGGTGCCTGGGCTGTGTGTTTGGGCACGCAGCCGTCCCTGAACACACAGCTGTCCCTGGTAATGAGTGTGCTTGTGTACTCGCCCGAGAACTCTCACACCGGGAATATGGGGAAGATATGGGGTTGCCACCATCCGACCAACTGAACAACATTATTCTCCTCAGCCTTCTCTTACTCGCAGACAGGGCGTTCTATGACATCAACTCTTTTCCCACACTTCTCCACATGGTCTGGTAATGCCAGGACATTCCCTCTGTCTCGCCTCTTCCCAACCCCTCCCCCACCTCCTGGGAGGAGCGGCAGACCGATGATGCGGCCACTGGCCAGCAATAGCAGGTGGACCGTGCCAAATTGGTGGCCGCCATTTTTGAGGCCCCGGACTTTGGGCTTCACCTGGGGGTGCTGGAACCCATCCCTACGATAATGTTTATTCATTCATTATTTTATAACTTTCGCGCGGCCCTTACACTTAAACTAGGCTATAGGGTGTGTTATGAACAAATCAAAGACAATAAATATTGACCGATTGGTTTCACAGAGCGGTGACCACTGTAGCAGCAGCAGCAGCACAGTGTCGAAGAGCAGTAGCTTGCCAGTGGTCACTACATGGGATGACGACTCCAAAGCACCAACATATGAGTCATCGCTGGATGCACCAGTGGCTCAAGAAGAACCTGTTGGTCAGAACCAAGCCAGAACAGCGTGCCTTAGCCAAGTACGTATTTTTGTTTTCATTGGTACAAATTAGCCATATCTTATGCATGAGCATGGAGATAACATTGTTATGAGTAACGAAACATGTTTACTAATACTGAACGTGCAGGTCCTTGGCCCGCAACCAAAAAGTGAATCATCAACAGCGTCTCGCATTGTTTGATATAAGGTGGTGTCAAAAAACAAAATTTCACTTCCTTCGATTGCACTTCGGAGTGCAGGGGGGGGGGGGGGGGGGGGGGCCGCGGGCTGCATCTACCATTTGCCCTATTCGTTACGTGGAGGCGCTTGTTTATGAGCGAAGTTTTGCGGTGTTGGTGAATCCCACAAAACCTAATCAGCATCTCTACTGACGGCAGAGCTCAAGAAGCACCATCGAAGACGCTCTTAGGCCTCACATACCTTTGTTCACTACGCTTTTCTGTCCATCAAGGTGGCCCCGCAGCACCGACTGGGGCCATTTTGGCCACTAGTGAGCCAATTCCTCAAGTAACAGATCCTCTAAGCGCCGAATAAATATCAATATGTATGAAAATTGAGTACCAGCCGACGCTCCTTTGCATTGCCGACTTCTTTGACTGGCGCAGCCAATCACAACGCAAAAAAAAAAAAAAAAAAAATTGCGCAAGTTGGAAAACATTGTTTCCGCCCGCAGGAAAGCAAAGGGCTAAGGCCCACAAACTAAGAATTCTACCGTGGGTTTGAGCAGAAGGTATATCATGTGAAACCAGCCTATATGTACACAAACACAACTCTGTTATGTCTCGGCGTGGTGGTGGCGCGTCGGGCGCACTTCCGGTATGGGCTGTGGGCAGAAGACCCCATGCGAGACGTGTATTCCTGCATTGAAAGGAACCACACAAAGCCTGCCTTCTAGTCAAAATGACGCAACTGAGGATGTACCAAAAAAGTCGAGAGGGGTTTGAAGGTCAGTTTTCACGTGCTCGGTTTGTCCGAGAACATGGATATGTGTCGTGAAAAGGGAAAACCAGACGCCGTCGGACCATGATTGCTTGAACGGGAAGCGCTTTGGGTTGAAATCACGGATACTTGTAGTCCTCAGCTTTATTTGTTTTGTTCCAACATAACGCCGGAGAACCGTCAAGTTGTGCGGACCACCACTACGCGAAGTTTTGCGGTGTAACGAGCCTCGCTAATTTCGCTGATTCCGCTCAAGTGGTCGGAGATTGCCAGGGCAACAATTCGAACGCGAAAAAGGGCAGGGGAACTCACACCGACGCTTGAAACGTTTGAAAGAGCAGACGACAGTTCGAACGATCAGGCAGCCGTTTGAACTTGAAGACGCACTGAACATGGTCCGCACAACTTGACGGTTTTCTGGCGTTCATGTTGGAACAAAGCAAATAAATCTGATGACCACAAGCATCCGCAAATTCAACCCAAAGTGCCTACCGCCCAAGCAATCGTTGTCCGACGGCGTCTGCTTTTCCCTTTTCACAGCACATATCCAGATTCTCGGGCGAACCGAGCACGTGAAAACTGACCTTCAAACCTTTCTCAACACTTTTGGTACAGTCCCAGTCACGGCGTTTTGACGAGAAGGCATGTTTGTGTCTAGTTTCTTTCAAAATAATGCAGGAATGCACGTCTGGCATGGGGACTTCTGCCCACGGCCCCAGACCGGACGTTTGCCTGACGCGCCACCACCGCGCCGTGACGTCGCAGAGTTGAGTTCGTGTATACACAAACTCATTTCTGTTACGTCACGGCGCGGTTGTGGCGCGTCGGACGCACTTCCAGTCCGGGGCTGTGGGCGGAAGTGCCCATCTGAGACGTGTATTCCTGCGTTGTTTTGAAAGCAACCAGACAAAAACCTGCCTTCTTGTCAAAATGCTGCGACTGGGGCTGTACCAAAAGGGTCGAGAAAGGTTTGAAGGTCAGTTGCTTGGGCGGGAAGCATTTTGGGTTGAATTCACGGATACTTCTGGCCATCAGATTTATTTGTTTTGTTCCAAAATGAATGCCGGAAAACCGTCAAGTTGTACGGACCACCTGCGAACTGCGTTCAGTGCGTCTTCAAGTTTAAACGGTCGCCTGATCGTTCGAACTGTCGTCTGCTCTTTCAAACGTTTCTGTTTGTCGTCTGCCCTTTTAGAGGACACCGGCCCGTAGACCAAACGTGGGCCCGGCACTTGCGATAAGAAGTAAGTGCAGGCCTCAAAAGACTTAAGTTTGAAGGTTGGTAAGCAGGCTCGATGTAAACAGTAGATACAAGGAGATGTTGATCATTGTTACCAGTGGCCATCACCGACTTGTTAGGCCTGATTCACTTGGTTAGATTCTGCTTGCGATTTTCAGTATTGACGTCGACCATCTCAGCTACGGTTCACGCTTTTGCAGTCCGAGCGACGTCGCTATTGAAAATTGCGAGTGAAATCTCATCATGTGAATCAGGCTCTAGCTATTCTGCGGCGTCCACGCGGAATGAATCGCCGCATGTCAGATTATTCACGCGAAGTTTTGCGGTGTAACAAGCCTCGTTAATTTCGCTGACGCCGCTCAAGTAGTCGGACATCGTTAGGAGGACGTAGAATCAACAATTCCAACGCGAAAAAGAGCCCGGGAACTTACACCGACGACGACAACATCGCATTTCAATGGTTTGTTTATGGGCGACGGTGAGCTTCTTGCCCACACCCCCATCGCGCATACGCGGCGCCGGTGGCGTCCACTAGGGGCGCTCCGGTTTGTTTGTAAACATGAGTTGGTGTATACCAGTTGTAGTAACTATCGCACTGCTTTTACAGAGCGGGGACCAGGCTTCCACTTCTGGGCCAGGGTGCAACAGCAGCACCGCCGCTTTATGCGACACCGTGCCAGCAACTACTGCAATCGATGGCCATTTTGAACCGCACTTGGAGCCGCCCATCTGCCACATCTGTATGTGTGTGGTAACGAGAGGTATGTAGTGACTTGGTTCACCTTATCGTGTAATGACAGAATAGCTTTATCAGTCTCTCTCTCTCTCTCTTTGTGCAATGTTATTCGAGTCTATATCTGAAATGTAATGTTTTTTGGTGTGCCAGGTACATCGACACTGTCTGTGGACAAAGCTGTGCAAGCCTTCGAGGAGCTTTGTCAGACCTCGACTGAAAATCCGGCACTGCCAACATCTTCCGGTGAGTAGCTGTGGTGGCTTAAGAATATAGTGCTATCTATGTAATACAATTGTGACGAGAGTTTTAATAGTATACATAACATAGATGCATTATGTCCGTGTTTCCCCGAGTTTATTTTTGTCAAA